CTCTCTCTCTCTCTCTCTCTCTCTCTCTCTCTCTCTCTCTTTCTCTCCCCGTGAAAATGCGAATCCTTTATTTCCTTCGACCGACGTTTTTCTCCTTCTCTTAAAACGTTCGTTGATCGAAAAGTTAAAGAAGAGCGATTTATTTGGATTGGGGCGGGAGGTGGCGGAAACACGAATCAAAATTTCTGATACGATGACTCGGTTTCTTGGAAAACGACCGAGGAGGGAGAGCATCCCTTCGAGGGTAAAACTTTCTCCGTCGGCCAGAAACCGACGAAAGAGTTTCAAGAGCGCGAAACTGAACGGGCGAACTGTCACTTCCATACCAGTGTCGAACTTATCGAAACGAATTTCGAGTTTTCGCCACCTTTTCGCCGTCCAAAATTTCCCTCCCCTCGTACTCGTACTCGAAACGACTGACTTATCGAATTTCCATTTTTCAACGACAACGACGGATATAGATAACGAAATCGAATATACACAGCCGATAAACGCGGATCTAATAACAAGTAGATGAGGCGGGTGGGGGAGAGATAGTCGAAGGGAAAACAGTCCTGGTGAATTTAAATCGACGTAGTACAACGATATCGATTTCGTGCACGGTCGGAAAAGCCAGTGAATGATCGTGTCCCGAGCGTGACCAAAATTGAAATGATCTGCTTGTACAAACGATAAGCAAATCGAAGGGGCAAATAAACGGCGGCCGAGTGACGTTAATTGGAAACGAGTTATCGGCTTTATTTCTTTTTTTTTTTTTTTTGCACCGTTCCCGCGGGAACCGTTCCTCGCGAGTTGGAAATAATTTTTATGCCCGATTTTTACCGTCAGCCCGTCGTGCTGCGCCGATTTTTTTTTCGAAACGTTGATGGAACGATCGCGCGGCATGAAGAAGGGATAAAATTAAAAAATATCCCCTCCCCCCTCTCCCGTACAATCCCATTCTCCCCGTTTCTCTCTTCACGACTATTGTTTTGGGAAACAAGTTTTAAAGATGACAGATAGTATCATAAATAAATCCGGCGGAAAATTCAGAATTCTAATTTCGATTTGTACAATTTTCGACGGGTAGAAAAATCGTCGAGTATTTTTCTTAATAACAACAATGATGAAAAAATAAACATCACCGCTGGATCGGTATGAATTTTTTTTATACATTGTAAGAATAACGTAAAAATTGTAAAAATTGTAATCGATTTCGCCGACGTGTCGCAATATCGGGTCTCGTCGTTTTTATCAATTAGATAATACACTGATGGATCGTTCCCTGATCCTGATTTCTAAAATAATTGTTTCGAAAACACGAATCACGCTAGAAATTATCGATATTGATAAACTGCGTAACGCCGTTGATACCAAATTATCAATACCAAACCATTTTGGTTGGAACTGTCAGGGAGCGTGTTTCAACGTATTTCCAAATTTCATTGGTAATTCGAAAGTTGCCAATACAGCCTTCTACACGCGATGCTTGTTATCCAGAATCACCGGAAATGTAAATATACCGTGAAGCTAATACAAGCTGCTCCATCGAGCGTATTCAATGATCATGTTTCTGAAATAAACGTGGTTCCAATTTCCATTACTAGATCCAGAACTTGAAAACATATATCGCGTTACAGGATCGAAAAAAAACGAACGCGTTGAAAACACATGTAATATTTTTGTCGAAAAATATTAATTTTAACTCAAAATAGCGTAGTAGAAGGGGAAAAAAAAAAGAAGAAAAAAAAAGGGAAAATACCTTCGGGATATCTGGAAATATCTCTCGAGAATGACAAAAAATCCGAGAGGTGAAAAAATATTTCTAAAAATATTTCTAGTGAATATCAGTAAGATCCGTAATTGCTTTAAACTACGGTTGAATGCGAAAACGAATAAAATCAGTGGACGCATAAAAATTTTCCAGTTTTTCGATTTTTTTTTCTTCTCTCTCTCTCTCTCCGAAATCAAACCGAAATCGAGTTTCGAAGAATGAAATGAAAAAACGAAGGGAACGAAAACTCGGATGCTCGTTATGAAATTCGCAATGCGCGCTCTGAAAAGAGGAGGATTCGGACTCGACAAATGTACAGATTGTGCAGAGATTTCAATTAGAACGATTAGAATATCGCGTACAACGAGGGGAACGAAGAGAAAATGCAAGATGAGCGAAGTGGAAAATCCGTGGAATATTCTTCTCGACGGAACGAATTAATTAAATCGGCTCTTTGAAACGTGAAGTGGAAATAAAAATTCCATATTTCGGTTGCAGAACAACCGAGAATCAAAGACCACGAGATTCGAACAAACGATCGGAACTCGACCGCGGGATTCCCCTCGAAAATCGAATAATTTCCCGCGTCACCCGCCCCGGCACTTCGAAAAAAGGATCCCCTCCTCCCGTTACGACCAAGGATATTTAATCGTTTCTTTCTTCTTTTCTCGAGCGACGGCTTGTTAATTTAAGGAGCGACCAATCTCTCGAAACGAGCGGCAGAAAAGGAAGAAAAAAAAAAAAAAAGAAAAGCGGGGCAAAACTGTGGCAATTACTCGTGGCACAGTTGCCAGAAAGTTTCCGTAGCGGGACGATTAATGGGTGGTATTAATTAGGGATAGGGGTGGGAGGAAGGAATGGAAGAGGAGGGTAAAATCTCGCGGCCGGTGTCGCGTCTTCGACCGCTCATTACTCTACGTCGAACGATGTTTCCGTCGGATCGGAACTTAGCTGGAACGAACGGTGGGCTCGTGGCAAAACTGTATTGTTTGTTCGAGGGAAACCGTTCCCCATTAATTAATCGGGTCCACGCAGTTGATTTGCATCCGATCCGCGAGCACGATACATCCGGATTGTCAGCGATCCATCCCTCTACCATTAATGTCTAAATACAATCGTCGGTTTCTCTCGTCGACGAACCATTGAATTCTAATCAACCGCGAAACGTGCCGTCGCGAGTTACGATATTTCCAATCATGTCTCGTAATTCGACCGGGCCGGAAAACGGGTTTTTATCTTTGGCGGGGGTGTGTTTTCGAATCCATCCCCCGACGCGGACGAGAGGGAGGACATTCAAAGGACCATCGATACATAGACACCCGGTTTTTTTGAAAACCGGTTTTTTATTTCCCCTATATACCTATCGGAATAGAAAGAATATTTTTAGCCGGCGAGTTGCGTGTATAACAGTCCGTATATTTCGAAACTTCTCCCTACACGGTTACTCTATATAAAAATACTACTGGAAAAAAAAAAAAAGAGGGAAAAAAGCGCGAGGATGAAACAACAAAAGCTTTCAGTATGTACCAGTTTTCCCTGTCAAATCAACGGCTCCCGCTCGCACGACCTTCACTAACGATAGCGCAATTGTTTGCAGGACCGGGGTAGGTGGAGCATGGAACGCAACGGAGGAAATCGTAACACCGAACAACGATACAACTTACAACATCGAGAATTTGCAGCCGTTCACCGTCTACAGTTTTCGCGTGTCAGCGGTGAACGCCATGGGAAGAAGCAAGCCCAGTGAAGAGACCTTCCACTCCGTCACTCTTCGAGAATGTACGTTTCTCTCTCTCTCTCTATCTTAATTCCTCGATTTAAATTAAACTTCCATCTTACTTATTACGTATTAATCATGTACGATATTTTTCCCCATCGTATAAGCAATTCCTATAACTTGGAGAGGCGCATTAGCGGAAAACACGAGGGGGGAATGATAACAGACATAAAATCCAAGGGAAGGTGTCCAAACGGAACGAGTCCCTCCGGGGCAATGCTAAAGCTCGCGAGAGTAAACGGGCCGAATATAACGAAGGGTAGAGCCGTAAAAGGAGGAAGAAGAAGAAGAAAACGAAGAAGCGAGAAGAATGGTTTGCACGGCCGCCGGTTTTCCGCGGCCAGGCACCAGCGTCACGAGATTGACGCAGCCAACTAAGGAGGCGCTAATTGCAGCACCGGAAGGAACGGTGTACAATCGCGCTTAACTCGAGCAGTCCGTCCACCTTTCCTCTCTCTATCTCTCTCCTTATCCCCCTTCGTCGCGCGAGCAGCTTGGAAAATAGGTTGAGCGGGCGCGCGAGCTCAGCCCTATAAATTCTGTCAACGCCGCCGGGATTGGTCGACGCCTTGTGTATGTATACCCACGACAAACTTTGCATTCGCGAAACTATGACGAGGAAGATTACGACGAAGGCGACGCTAACAAACGGGCCGCCGATGGTGGAGCGCGCGCCAGTCCCCGATACCCTCGATTCCCATGCGTATCGCAATGGCAATTAGCGCGTTACACGGTCCCCCGTTGATGGAATTAGCTGCGAGAGATTCCCCATACTCCTTCCCCTTCCCACTGAATATTTGATCTTAGGAACGGATGCATTAGTTTGCTATACATGGAATTTCTTATCGCCTTCTTGTTGTTCGAGGACAATTAGTAAGGAAATTGGAACATGAGGGGGAAAAAAAAAGGAGAAACGTTACTTCTTCTGCTCTTCCGGTGGAGTCGAAATTGGTGGAGGTTTTAATATAGATAGAATTTCTTACAGCGTTCTCTGTTTTTTGCTCCTTTAGTTAGATAGATAGATAGATAGAATAATAGGGAGTAACGGTATGATCCTTTTTTCGTCTCGTCTGGGGACGGAGGGGAAACCTCTGGCTGGTTTTTCGCGCGGTTCCAAACTCGCTCGTTGATCCAATTAATTATAATCATTAATACACGAGGTAACATCGGCGGAATTACCACCTGTGGCTAAAATTACCACGGTCACAAACGGTTAAAGAGTTTGCTCAGAGTGTGCATTTGCTTTTAGAAAATTGATACGGTTTTACCGAATGAACACGGCTCGATCACATGATCGGCTAATATTTATACTGCTTTCGCCGGTTACAAACGCGTTCAATGCAAACGGATCTCTTTGTTTTTGAAAAACAAGATAAATACATAGCGCGCAAGTTTGCAAACTTCGCGGGTCACCGCGAATATTATTCGTTTATTGGCGAATTTATCGATATGAAAAATTAATTTCGGGGGAGAAAAGAAAAATGCGAAAAGAAAAATTCGCCCGATTTTCCTTCCTTCCCCCTTCCCTTCGATATCGAAAATTACGGAATAATTAATAATCTACGAGATGTATCGATATATCGCGTTAATCATTAATATCGCATCTCATCGTTAACAAAACTAAACACACGAATTAATTAAATCTGTATCCAACGATTTTATAGAAAATTTAACGTGTGAAATTTAAGTAACATATGTATTCCGTGCAAATATCGAGTTACAATGAGTCATCGATTGATATATTGTATTACTCGATTAATTCGTTTGCCTCGCTACGGAATAATCCCGATAGATTGGTGGAGAGAAAGAGAGAGAGAAAGAGAGAGAGAAAAAAGATATGATTAAAACGTAAAATTGCCGATACTGGATGCAGTCGAAAGCAATTTATTATCGTGGTATCAATTGGACGAAATACAGAGTGGTCAAAAAGAAGGGGGGGGAAAAAAAAAATATATATTCCAAAAATTCTCGCATCGGCGAGTTTTGTACAATTCTGCGCAAAAATATCTCCGGTTACGTTAACGTTTCGGGCTTATAATATAATGGTAACCGGAATAAATATATTTTTCAAGAAACGTTTCCCCGTGTTATCCTCTTATTTCTCTTTCTACAGTTTTTACTTTTCTTCGTAACGTTGATACGGTTTTTCCCAAAATTTTGGACGTGCCGCCACCGTAACCAGATATCTGATGCACGAACTTGCATAAAACAAACCAGAACACCAGAGTATAATAATAAAACAGATTTTCGAGACGGAGAATGTAACGGTGGAAAACGCGAAATGAGTTTATTAAAGCTTATCGAGAGACGAAACGGTCTCTCTAGCGCGTATTATCGAGAGAACGTAACATTTTCATTCTCTGGTTGATTTAAGATCGTTGCGCGGAAAATATTTTATCATCGCACGTTATACACCGCTATAATAATCAAACGATTAGAATTCACGCGTACATTCGCGCAAATGGCTTCTCTATTCCATTGACGCGAAATATCGATACCGTTTCCGTTTTTCGCGCGTTGTTTCGAATTAACGCGTGATACGCGACATATCCACGTTAGAACGTCAATAAACCGGTATTGGTAATAAGCTCGTTGTTCAAATAGCGTAATTAACGAAGCGATAACCGCACGTTTAATAAACCGGCTTACCGAAACAGATTAACAACGGGGACTATTTCTGCATTACGTATTAATCTTTCCGCGCTGTGGAAACGTGTTTTCTGTACGGATCGATTACCCTGCATTACAAACAACGATAATTGATTGAATCTACGTTAAAAAAAAAAAAAAAGGAAAAAAAAGTGATTCCCAACTATGATGCGATAAAAACTCGATCCTTAACTCAAATACGCGATACCCGCGAGATTCTTTTAAAAAGTTTTCCAATAAACAACTCGCGGCGGATGAATCTCGTGACGAAAGCAAATCCGCGCGCGTTAAAACGGATCGTCGATCGGTCGCTCGAAATCAATTAAAATCAGGCCGCGAAACGAGCATCGAGAGCTTGACGGGGGATAGAAAAAAAAAAAGGGAAAAAAAAAAGAAAAAAAGAATCGTGGTGTGGCAAACGTTTGTCGGCGTGGCAAATACGGGCGAAAATGGTAGACATCGATGGATTTGGAAAATCTAGCCAACGATATGTTTTCGATGCTCCGTCGAATCGAATCGAAACACGGAAATCCCGGTGATCGGTTCCCTCCAACTTAATAAAGAGACACGAAATCGGCCCTGTTGAACGTATAAATTCGCACGCAAATGCATACACGCGCACAGCCAGAGTCAGAAAGATGGATTGATCGCGATAGCGGTAGGCGAGGAGGTTGGAATAATTATCGGGTTATTTTTCCAAGAATGGGCCGCCGCATTTGGACGATCGCGTGGATTCGCGCGTCAATAACCGATTTATAAATACCGGGGGATCGTTGTCGATGATACGAATGCATACGAGCGAATGTCGAGAGATGGGGACCGAGAAAAAAAAAAAGAAAAAAACAGAACTAACAGAAACGTTACGAGTTGTTAAACCGAACGCGATTATATTCGTTTCACGATATTGCACGCCCCGGATCCGTTTTGTTTTTCTCTACGCTTTTCCCTTGCCGCCGTTTCCCGATATTGCGATCGGAAGCGAAGTTTAAACGCCGTTTTCACAGGAATCGTCGCAACAATAACGTCGCGCGATCGACGCGAGCAAAACATTGACACGGTGGAAATTCTAACGTTTAAAAAAAAAGGAAGGGAAGAAGCTTGGAATTTTTTACCGCGAATGAAAACGCATGGGACTCGATCGAGTTGTTTTTTCCCCCTCCTTGATCGCGCCGCGAATAGTTAATGCGAGAAAAGTCAATTTGGTTCGGCGTCTATTACGAGAGGAGATCTGTTCTGAACGAAACGATCGTATCGATCGTCAAGGGAAACGTGATTCTTTTCGACGATAATACACGATGCACGAGATTGGAATCGAAATGGGCCGATGTATTCGCCCGGATTAAAATTCAAGCTCCTTCCTCGATTCGTACATGTCCGATCAAACAGTGAGCAGATATGAGTAATTCAAGAACGTAATTCGATTGGTCGTTTCGTGTGCTCGAATCACGACCGACTGATGTGACATTCTATCTGAAGATCGATGAAGTCTTTCCGGATCCGGAGTGAACACGCGTTTGAAACAGGATGACAAACCTTTGCTAGATAGCGAGCGACGAGTAATACGTCAACCGTGACAGGATGCTTTCCTCGCGACGAGACGAATGAATTTTTCAAAATCGCCCGATCGAAGGAAAAATCTCTAACGCTCCATTCCCGGAAAAGTAACCATCGTCGTCGCGCCAATGGATCAAACTCCAAAATTATAATAATTTTTTAATAAATAAATACACAAGTAAAACGTGTTGATGATACGTGTTGTGAGATCTGAAATTCGAACGCGTAAAATCGAATTTCCATGTATAATTTCTTGACGAGACGACATTATGCGTGAAACGAGTGGAAATATGGATATGTGTAACGATACAAGGAAGAAGGGTAGTTAATTTGGTAAAACCGTGAAATTGCGTGAAACGTGAAATATCGAATGATCGATATCGGAGGATCGATAGAATAACGTCGAGGTTGCCTTTTACTTTGCAAACACAGATAAATGAACGGTTGAACGTCGATACACGGACGAACGCATAAATGAAACATCTAGGTTAGATGGCAATGATTGCGCTGCAATAACGAGATAATAACCATTATCAGGATAATAAACAGGCAATTAATAGAAGGCCGTGTATTTAATACCGTCAATAGAGACGCGTGTGCGTCGACCAACGTAAAAGCTAATAAATAGAGAGATCGAGGGGGATGATAGAATACGAGTCAATTCGATGGAAACAACAACGTCGATATTATCGCCAGAATCGCGTTGCCGCGAGATTTGTTATTCAACTTGTTATCTTTCTTAAAAAACTACGAACGAACAACTCTATTTATGTTTATGCGTTTCTTTCTCTTTCTTTCTTTCTTTCTTTCTTTCTTTCCTCTTTTTTTTCTTTTTTTATAATAAAATTTCTACTAGTTTACCGAAGTGTTTCTTTGATCTTCGCCTCCGAGAGATTGAAGGGAACTCCTCCAATCTCTTCGCGCAAATAGATACACCTTCAGAGAATAATTAATTTCGCAGCCGGTAAACGTTCCACCCCTTTGCAGTCGTTAATGAGATGCTACGAAACTTTTCCTTTTTTCCTCCCTCTCCATCTCTCTCTCTCTCTCTTTCTCTTTTTCTCTCTTCCTGGCCCTCGCCCGTTTAACTTGGCGCACAACTACCCTTAAGCGGCACGCGGAGCGTCGTATTCTCGATCCTCGGGCGATAAATATTCGAATTAGGTGTTCTCCCTACCTGAAAAAGACACTTTTCGGAAAATAGCCGGCCTTATTGTAACATTGACCCACATTCAAACGCGGGGGAAAAATCGTTTCGCTCCTCGTTTCCAATTTCTCTCGAACATATTCTTCGACCCCGAATCACCGGTTACAAACCGGATAGGATGGAAACAAATGAAATTGACGGGTTGCACGATTAACCGATAATACGTCAACATCGCGTTCGTTAGCGCAATTTATCGCCAGCATATTCTAATTCGCGATACTAATTGTTCGGTACACAAACGTACGTACAACGTGTACGCGTTGCAGGTGTGCAAAGGATAGGTGTGAGAGAGGGAGAAACGCGCGATGCCCACGTCGCTGGCGGTGTACAGGAATCCACGGGCTGGCTTAAATGAAACGCTGCCCTTTCTCTGTCTCCCTCCCTGCCCACCGCCACGCTCTCTGTCTCACCCAGATCAATAGGGTCTCACCGACCAAACTTCTCCTACCGCTCTAGCCCAATACGTACACCGACACCCCTCTCGTCCCCTCCGTTTCCGAAGGTCGTTGCCGCCTGTCCCCCATAAATATATCGCGTAACAGAGCCACCAATTAGCCATCGGGACAGCCGTGTCGGCGTATATACACGTCCCCACACAGGGCTTCCAAGTTTCGTGAAGGGAAGGGGAGGGGGTCGAGTCCGCGCGAGAATTGGAAAATTCGTGGTCGCGCCACGGCTAATTTCGGCAACATCCTCGGTCCGCGAGTCGGTAATCAGCCTGAGTTATGAACTTTAACACGAGGAGCGTGGTGGATCGCCTCGCTTTTATTTCCCTTCGGGGCCGATAAGAAATTTCACAGGTTCGTGGAAATTCCTATCCGTACGTACTCCTTCTCCTCCTCTCTCCAACTTTCACGTCTTCTCTGTCGGTCTTCTTTTTTTTTTTTTTTTGTCGTTTTATATCGCGCACCAGGATGTGAAAAGTGTAATTCGCCAAGTGGCGGCGACGTTTTTATTGCGCGAGTATCGCGGCAACTGCGTCTATTTAGGTTATAGAACCGCTACACTTTACCTAACGCGCCACACTTTATTATCGCGCGGGATATTGAATTAGTTTTTTCTTTTTCTTTTTTTTTTTTTTTTTTTTGTAACTTCGTGCGGGGCTCGAAGAGAAAACGAAAGAGGCTTCGAACGAAAATTTCGAAGGGATATTTGGGAAAAAAAGAAAAGAAAAGGGAAGAGAAGGGATCGACAACGTCGCGTGGCGTTTTATCGCGAGACAAAACGTAAAGGCAAGCATAGCCGTCGTAAACGTAGCCCTGGCACAGAATCGTAATAATTTAACGCAGATTTTGCGACGGTAAAAAAAGAAAAGAGAAAAAGAGAGAAAAAAGAACGCGTTGCTCGCATTTATTACGAAAGCTGAATTACCTCGGCGAAGTGGCCGGCCCAGAATCGCATGAAAGACTTATCGCGCTCACCGTATACCACGTAATACCTGACCCACTACAATGTCTTCAGCTAGGCATTAATAATTCTGGTTGTTTCGTTAATTGACTGCCACCGCAACGATGGTGGTCGAGGGAACAGCGGTTTTACTTGAATTGAAATAAAACGTGACTGGAATAAGAACGAATGCCCCGAAGCTAGTAAACTCGAAAAAATACAATCATGATGTATAAACCAATTTGCAGATATTAAAAGAGCTTTCTCGTATTCGCGATAAATTTTTTTCTGAAATATAACCTGTAAAATATGTTTACCATTGAATTTTATTTTCCTTTTCGAGAAATACTTTTGAACGTAATTGGAATCATCCGTCTGAAAATACATTCTAGTCTGTTTTGAAGAGCATGTTAATTTAAACGACAAAAAAAGAACTAGAGAGCTAAGAAATCCTGTGAAAAATAACGTGGATGAAAATTAACTACTACTAGTAATTATTGGTGAAATGGAACATTGTTCAACTTATGAATAATTGTGCGAAAAAGGATCATCGGAAATAAAAACTGACGGCCAGTCAAATGGAAAAATTACTCGATCGTTCTACGCGTGTAAAAAATAACATGATCGCGAGTTAAACCGATTTTACCAACTCGAATATTGACGAAATAATCGAGAATTTCTAATGTAATGTAGGTAATTGATTCACCGAAGAAAACCGCCCTCTCAACCGATCATTTTTATATTCGAAACTCGAAAAAAAACCTCCGACAAATACTTCTTCATCTTACCATCTCCTTATTTGTAACTAACATTTGGTAATAAAAAAAAATAAATAATCACTTTGATGCACACAACCGTTCCCCAAATATCTCTCAATAATTCCCTGTTGTTCCTAATATTCGTCCAGTTAATCTAACCCACAATAATATCTCGCGATTTCCCCGACCGACACGAATTTCCCTGAATCCGCGAAACAATAATAACGGGCATCGCGATTCGTCCGAGCAATTTCTCCGCAAACCGGCCGACTAATCCTTGTCACTGGCAATTATTCACCGAAACGTTCCGTTCGAAGTTTCGCTCGGGGCGCATTAATTATCCGTCGACTTTCACCCGCGGACGCTTTATTTTCGCGGCGGTTATCGCCACTTCGCGGCCAACACTTATAGCGCACGGAGTCGCTAACGAGTCGCCGCAAGTTTCGTACCCGCCTCCTGTCATCGAGCGTCGCGTGACGCGCATTAAACGTCTTCAAATTATTTCCAAGCCAATCCCTCGGCAAGTAAACACGGAACGGAACTTTGACAACTTTCCATCCGCGAATATTGGCGCGCGATAACGGCAACAAGCCTCGCCAACGATACGGACGCCGCTTAAGTTAAGTTGGGCGAGACCGTTTGGAAGGGTCGAGGATACCGTGATCTCGGTTGCTCGAGATAACAGGGAAATGGGAATTAATAAGGACACAAGGTTTCCCGCGAATTAAAAGGGTAACGCGAGTTGCTTAATGCAACGCGATCGCACACGTACATTACGTAAGCTCGTCGTGTTAGCATTTTAGGAAAAACGTTGTTGGAATTATAAGAGTATAAAAGCAGACGTATGAACGTTACGTGTGCTTGTTTTTTTTTCTTCTTTCTTTTGAGAACGTTTTTTTCTTTCTTTCTTTCTTTCTTTCTTTCTTTCTTTTTGACCTTGGAATTTCGTTGTGTATTCCGTTACAGCGAGAAACTGGTGGCTAGAAGTTTCGTTGTTACAATGTAACTTAGTATTCGGTGGAGCAACGTCGGCGCCAAGAGCAAAGTAATGAAATAACATGTGCTTATGAAATGTCTTGGTAGTGGAAATGCAGGGAATAGGGATGAAGAGAATTTTAAAAAGGATATATTAAACCCGGAAGTCAGATATAGCTCGGAAAAAAAAAAGAAGAGAAAAAGGGGAAAAAAGGCGATAGCAATGAAAATTTCTATTCCATTTCATTGGGTAGATTCCGCGACTGCGTTGGTCGATAAATTCTTCGAGACGTTTGTGACAAATAGAGGAGTCGAGATGAAATAAGCTCGATCGGATCGTATTTTTTCGATAAGGGGGTAATTGCTATTATTTTTTGAACGGAACGATGGTACCGTTTTGATCAGCCAGCAAAATTTGATTATGCGAAAAGTATTAAATTACACGCGCACGAATTTTAAACGAGTCGAAAGCTATCAATTGTTGAAAATATTACGACAGGGAAGGGTCCATTGAAATGCGTGTACCTGGATCACAAACGAGAGGGGATGGAGGGAAAGAGAAATAATGGGAAATACGATTAAGCGTGCTTGTTCGAATTTTATTCGCGACGACGGCCAAAGGTAGAAAATAAATACGATCGATCCGATATTTATTGCGAGCTGATCATCAAACAATCATTGCAAATACGTTTTTATCCGATGGCACTCGTGTTGATCCGTCTGTTTCGATGTTTCCCGCCCCTCTATCATATGTCTTCAACTAGTACATTCGAAACGTCGATTTTTTTTCATTATGTATAACTCATATATGATGATGTTTCGGTTATTCTTCAATTTTCTTTTTTTTTTTTTATTAAGTAAAAGATGAAAACAAATAAACGAGTAAAAGAAATTGAGTAATAGAAAAATTTAAATCTTTAACTTCGATTATTGGAACGTTCGAAAAAATTACCAATTACAAAACTAAGTTAGAAATTCAGAAAAAAAGAACTCATTTTCTTTTTTCCTCTTTTTTAGATTAATCCAGAAAATTTACGAAAATATCTATTAATAATGAAAATTTTTGTTGAAGAGTTTTTACAATACTCGATAAAATATTTTGCGAGCATAAAAGTATCTTATATATATATATATATATATATTTATTTATGCAAAAATATGATAATGCGTGTGTTTCATTTTCTCATTTTAGTGCCATCAGGAAAACCTATAATTACTAGCGCTCATAATACATCCGCCACATCTATATATTTGGCGTGGAAAGCGCCCAGCCCTGACACCATTCACGGCGAATTTCTTGGGTATCGAATCGGGTATAAACCTCGAGACAAACCCTATATGGAAGAAAAAGAAGTATATATACGCAATCCAGCCATTGACGTAAGTCGAATAAAAATTTGTTCGGATATCTTTTATTATCCGTGTTGCGTTTGATTTTATATCGATATTTTGCGTTTAATTAAAAAATTTCGCATGTTTCATTGCAGAATCATACAATCCGCAATCTGCAGACGTACACCCAATACCTGGTGTCATTACAGGTTTTCAACCCGGAAGGACATGGTCCTGCAACCACCATCTCTGTAATGACCGACGAAGGAGGTGAGATTAAAATTTTTTTATTTTTTACGATTAAATATTTAATAAAAAGGAAAGAAATTTAATTGATGTTCGTCTATGTTCAAAACTTGGCGCTTTAAAATTGAAACTATCGATAAAACAGAACGTTTTAAAAACTTCTATGTAGCTTCGGTCGATAAGCAGAACTTTGCGGATACATACTTTAACAGAATTCAGAAAGGACGATTTCTGTAATAACGCGTTCTTATCATAGATAAATGAGATTTTACAAGATTTTATATCATATATTTTGAAATATTAATTTCAAAAAATAAAAAATAAAAAAAGTAAAACTGAATAAATAATACTTATTTAAATAGAAATAGAATAGAATGGAAAGATTCTGAAAAAATTATATAAAATTTTAAATATCTTAAAAACTTTTCCTATTAAATGTATAAGAATTTCTTTTTATAAACTCTATATACTTATTTAAGATACGACTAAATATTTCACACATTTAGTAAATCTATAATAAATTCTATTGAATATCTAATATTTATTAGATAAATAAAATATTTTTATTTGAAAATATATAATTAAATTCAAAAAATACTATTAGATTATTTATATCTTTCATTTTTTTCAATCACAATTAGATAAACTTAAAATAATGTAAATTTAAATTTAAATTTAAAAATTTGAATTAGAAAATTTAGATTTGAATCTGATTTGAATTGATTATTTCATTCTATTTACAATAATTTAAAAAAAATAATATAATAAATGAAAGATATCTATACTACAAATAACAAATAAGTACATTTTTTAGTAATATTTTTAATAACAAATTTTTACAAGAGGAGGCTTTTTAATAAAAAAAAAAAAAAAAGGGAAAAATAACCAGAAAGACTACTAAAATATAATAATAAATCCACTTAATGTGAACTCGAATAAACCGTAAGTGGAATTTCATTGTTTCGCAACATTAAATATATTAAATTTTCAAAAGGAACTGCGAAAAATGCTTCATTTTATTTACAATACAAATTAATTTACGGTAAACGGTAAAAAAAAAGAAAAGAAAAATTCGCGAAACAATTATTTATAAATGTAACATTAGTAAATATTACTCTATGCACTCAAATTTCAATACACAATACTAATAATGAAATATTTATTATTATTTATGCAGTTTAGTTCCTGCTAGTATAATCCCTCGTATTTTAACTACAGAAACAGGAATTTACACAATTCTAAAAGCTTGGGCATTCAATATTCGCAATATTAAAATAAATAACACGATTATTATTCAACGCAACACTAATTGAAAAATAATAAAAATGGATTGAATAATGCGATGGAACAATATTCTTAAAAAATTTTTTTTTTTAAATTATTACAATGATTAAGAAGTTATAATTAAAAAATTTTGGCAAATGGTATTAACTTTAATATTACTATATAAGAAATTATAGCAACTTATCTAATAAAAACACGATATCTCATGATTAGCAAACGCGATTCTCATTTTTACTTTTTAGCGCAACGCTAATACTATAAAAATCGCGATATCCATAACGATTGGATAATGGGCCAGCATGCAAATTGGCCGAATAATACAACAATAATAACCATATATTACTAAAACGAGCACAGTGACAAAGTAGAAACAATGACTTCCCATTCTTTGGTGCTAAACGAGATCCAAAAAATGAGAAGCCATTCGTTGCAGCCCTCTTCGTGACAGTTTGTCGGGCCTCTTGGGTCTTCTTTCTTCGGGCGCGATGCCCGCTGAAACTTAAAACTAGGCTCGAGATTTCCTAATCGCGAACAAAAAAAATAAAAATAAAAAAAACTACATCACGAAAGCTGAATGAACGACCAGTGATCGCAATGATCGTTATCCGTTCATGCGCAGAATCTCGAGCGCAACGTTCGTTTCGAAACCCATTTCGCGACCGCGACCGCGGAATTCGAAAAATCGATGAGCGAAACCAGAGACGAATAGCATAGTCCATTCATCCATTCTCTTTACCCTCGATTTTTCAAATGTTATCTTCTGAAACAGGTTGTCACGCGAAAACACGCCTACCCGATAAGAGACTGCGACAACCTGCCCAGCCCTACCTACTTATAATTAACACTCATACCAGAAAACATTCTACCTATCTTGCTGCTACTTATCTTAATATTTAAACCTATATTTAAAAAAAAAATAACAAGCCAGACATATCAACACATTCATTCCACGTTTCTCACGCATAACACTCGGGCGCAAAAAGCCTACACTGGGGAAAGCGTCCCGGGACGCCTCCGACACCCGAGCTTGGCACACTACTCTCACACTCTAACTTTACGTACCTTTTTCCTGAAATCGACTAACGATGATTAATGATGATTGCGTGTATCGCGATAAAAGATTGTAAGTCAATTTTAATTATCAACATTAATGATAAAAAGAATGAAGTATATATATATATATATAAGAATGAAATAATATATGTATGTTATATATACATTATATATATAT